CACAAACAACAATGAATACTTTCAGGTTGTGTACCCGAATCTCCCCCTGGTCCAAACAAAGTAGGAACAGCATCGTTCTTCAGTGCCCTACGCTGTACATATCCGGCATGAATCGCTGAAATGTTTGGGAAGCTTTGTTTCGTGAAAGGCTGGCAGAGGGTGTGGCCTCTGGGTATTCACAAGTCACAGTACCCAGGAAGTAAACAATGGAAAATGAGAAATCTCCAACGAGGCGTTTTGGGGCAGCATAGACTGTGTTAGAGTTTTACTCGCTACAGGGTGTACTTTGAGGGTTTTGACTCTGCAGACCGTTTACATGCAGAAAAACCTTCATAACACACAAGGGGACGGGTAATAACCGGAAAAGCATGACATGGGACCTTTAACAAAATAAAAACGTTTGACCTGTCAATGAATAATGTATTGTCGTGTCCCCGTTTTCTGTCCAATAGTGTCTACTGCAGACCTAAGAATGGAGGGGGCACAAGTAGCATTTGCTGTCTTCATCCCCATCGTCCTCCTCCTCAGCCTCATCATTGGAATCTACCTCTACTACTCAAAGTAGGTTCAAATGTTCAAAAAGAAGGTTCAAGGTTCAAGGCTTTTATTTGTCATACGTATAGCTACAGTGTAGTTATGTCGATGAAAATCTTAGGTCACAGGCTCCACCAACAGTGCAACAGAAGACAGTTTTATACAAATAAATGTGGTCTTAGCTTCTCTCTTTAACACTCACATAAGACAATAAATACCAATTCTATCAATTGTCTATTTTAAAGTTCCCTTTGTAGTCAAGTGTAATTAAACTCTGTTTCCACTGAATATCGGTTTTGAGCCGGTGAGCAATTGCAAACCAGTTTTTTGTGTTTCCACTGCAATGACGCCAGCTGTCAAGCACCGACTATTTACTCGGCGAAAACCGAGCCACATAGGACGGAGGCCGGAGCGGAGCAACAACAGCTCATGGCAAGAGTAGAATGTTCAATCAATCAATCAACGTTTATTCATATAGCCCAATATCACATATTCTACATTTGTCTCAGGGGACTTTACAGTTTGTAAAGAAAATGAATACAATTACGACACCGTCTGTCCTTAGACCCTCCCGTCGGACAAGCAAAAACTTCCAAAGGAACCCCACAGCTAATGGGGGTAAAGTGGAAGAAACCTCCGGGAGAGCAACAGAGAATGTTGTTCGGGTTACATTGAGAGCGCAAAGTGGCTAGAACACAACCACAAAGATATAAATAAACTTGCCTAATGTTCACCATTTTATTCACTTTGAATGAAAACCATTTTGCTATAGTTGTGCTACCAACGATAAGCTACTCAAAGTATTTATGGTGAATGATTATTATGCTATATATATACAAGGCAGCATGTCGGTGTGTCCTTGGGAAAATTGCTCCCGATTGCTCCAACTGGGTGTGGGAATGTTAGCTTCCTTGAGCAGATGGCACCATGTTTGGCATCCCCTGCCACTATATAAATGGGTGAATGATGACTTTTATATGTAAAGCGCTCTTGGGAGTCGTAAGGAATGGATAAAAGGCTATCTGAAATGCAGTCCATCCATTTACCATTTAAAGTTGAAGAATTCGTAAATCAATAGCTTTAACATGACACAGCTCCAATGTTAGCCGCCATTTGTGTTATTGTGAGTGATATTCATGCTGGAAACTATAATCACATGAAGCAAAGAAAATTGTCAGCTCTGGTCAGTGGAAAAGCAAACTGGTTCGCACTTGGGAACCAAACCAGCCCCAGCATGGAACTAAAACAAAACGCATTTAAGTGGAATAGAGGTATCAGCACCGTTTACAGAGAAAATGTTGGTTTTTTATTATGTATTCTTTCTATAACATTTGATTGTATTATATAACCAACCCTGTTCTGCCATTTCTATTAAGTGTGTGTGTCAGTGATCCTTCATTATACCATCCACCTCCACAACACCTCCATCATACAGTAACTGGTCTACACCTCTCTATTAGCACATCTGACTCATAAAAGCATGATGAGAAAAGTACACAGTTAAATAGAATTTAAAAAAAAACACATTTTAGGGTGCCATTTCTCCAGAATGACATTGTACAGATTAAAACATGTGTGTCTCCTTCTTTGTCATGACGCATTCTCTGTCTGTGCTCAGGCATCAGAGAAAGCCACTTCAGCTGTCACTGTCCTCCAACCTACCATATGAAAACATCTCTGGAGAATCCACGTGTGACAATTTAGTTTATGAGACAACGGTGAGTCAACGTATACCTCAGACTGTGAGAATGCATGTTTGTTTGGGGGGAGGGACTTGGTACAGTGTTTGACTCCATCTCCTGTGTTCCCAGTGTACCTTGTTGTATCTCCCTCCCATTACCTACATCATGGACAGTGGGTTTGAGACTAAAAAAACGGTTTAAGCATTGCTGGATTAATTTGCAACAGTTTACGATCTATAACTAATGTATTTATTTACCTAACAAAACTGGTCTGGTTCTATCAACATAAATAAATATTCTGTACACTGTATAAAACGTTTGATGTGTTGAGTTTTTATTTTTCTTCTTCCATGCTGGCAATCCCAAAGAACAATGAGGTGAGTTGTTCCTAAATCCTAAATGATGTGTCATGAATGTTGCAGGGGGAAGTGCAGCAATATTCTTATCTTGTGTTTGCCTATGGTATGGGCAACACGTCTGATATGCATCCCTCAAACCAACAATACAGTATTGTGTGAATCACAGTAGGGTGTGTCTACTTCCTTTGCTAAGAAGCTCTTTGTTATTGACTGATCATTAAACCACACTGGTGCACTGGTTGACATGATCCTTTATTACCATGAATACACACACTGTACTTTATTTCACTCAATCTCATTTACACTGTCCTGCTGCGACAAATACTTACTAGAGCACCACATGTGGATTAATCCGCCACTAAGGGAGTACCTTTGTTTGACAAAACTAAAGTGGAATATGTTTGTTTTAACTAAATCAAACTATAAATTTCTGAGCTATTTGATTTAATTATTCAGTAGGAACCATTGGCTGAGGCTGACAGCCGAATAAGTCTAGGGAAGTCAGAAAGTATTGATTGGAGAAAATCCCTTTAGAGATGGACGCATGATATTTTCACAGGAAACTAGCATTACCGTTTAATTTTAATTTCTTATTGCTGTATCAAAATAAAAGTTATTGATTAATGATAACATTTGACAACCGCTGCTTCGTACGCAACTCCCTTCCTTTGACCACATGTGCTCATTCTCTTCCCAGGATACACGAGAATACGAGGTTTCGATCTGAAGACGCCAGAGCATGTGTTTCAGAATGGACAGATAAGAAGCCTGCTGGCCTTTTCAACGTCTGTCAGACTCACACCTTTGGTGACTCCACCCTGTTCTCTATACACTGAATATGAGCCTCCCTTTATTTACCCTACAGAGGACGCCACACTACCGCTGGAAAGGCTGGGCCACCGGATAATTTTTCTAGCTCAACAGTACAGTCCAGCAGCAGCAGTTTGTACAGTTTTTAATCCTGTGATTGCATCCTGAGGACTTTCAGCGCCAAGAACCATCTCAGAAAGCAGAGGGATTCGATGCAAAGCTTGTGCCATTAAGTGATATAACCACTGATGTTACATTTTGTTATATACATTATACACTATATGTCTCCTGCACCATTTAAAGACTAATGCTTGGATTAACGGGATGTCTATTAAGAGTAACATCTTAACTTATCTTGACAAACAACTGCATTTACATTTAGAGTATGCTCAAAAATTCGAATTGATGCACGATCTGAGATAAGAAATCAGAATATACATTAAATAAAAGGCCCAATAAAATATAATTGTCCCTGCGAGAGAGAGAAGAAAACATATTATATTTTCATGTCTGTATTAAGTACGGAGCTGGATGTGGTTAACCTTACTTTGCATAAAGACTTGAAAGGGGTTTAGCTAGCCAGGCTTGGTAAATACACCCAACACCTCCTTAGCTCACTAGAAAACATGTTGCATCTTGTTCATTTGTATCCTAAGTAAGAACAAAATAAAGAAACAATATGTTGCTTAAGGATTGTAACGTTTTCATGAAAAAATCCAACTGAACATTGCTAACTATGTAATTTCTGGGATAGCTATATTTAATTTGCTTTCAAGGTTTCTCAAAACAAACGAAAAAGCCCTGCTTGGTGCAAATTCATATAATGATTAATTGCATTTACTTTGTGCTCAAAGTGCTTTACATTACATATTACATAGACATGTAATACATCATGTTGTTCTTTTACACTTTTGCTAACAAGTGACTCATTAGCTTGCTAGCATCAACAGTCTCACACAACCCAGTCTCACGGCATTTCGTGTTATAGTCACAACATTTAATCTATTGATTCGTGTTCACCAACACGATTTTCCCCTTTTTTTCGTGTCACACAGAACGATTTTAAAAGCAATGTATTTCTATTGGTAGTATGTTTCGTGCCTGCACCACGTCTTTTTGTCCGGTCGGGTCTTCGAAGTCCAGAAGCTGTGGGGTTCATAACATTTTCTTACTCAATATCAAGCCACGATTATTGTTTTTATTTTAACTCGTATAATGTCTGACTTTTTTTGCCGTCTGCGAGGAAAATAAATGGGGTTCAGAGCCTCAGAATACTGAAATCTGTATTTTTTAAATCTTTTTTTCCTTCTAATTTGTTATTCTTTTCTAAATAACACACTGTTATTTACTCAACAATAACGCACAATTATCTTTGTTTTTATTTATTTGTTTAATTTTATAATCTTGGGCTTTTTAGCCGTTCCTCAGGAACTGAATTTCAAAATAAAGTCACCGGAAACAGACGTAGGCCTATATGGGACATTTTGAGCATCACTGCCACTGAACTGATTACCCAGATCCTCAGCTTGAAGCTTGGTGATTGGATATTTTAGCTGCAATGCACGTTGGGATATGGTGTTAGTAATGAGATATGAAATCCGAAAAACATTTCAGAGTTTAGGATGGCCAAAGACACTACACTACCCATAATCCTATCGTTTAGGACTACAGTACCTTTGCTTGACAAACCCCGTGATTAATCTTCAAGCTCTGGCATTGGATGTTGGAGTGGCAGTGCGCCAAACAGCACTTTGAAATGGAACAAAACCACGGCAGACTATCCAAAACTGGACTCGAACGGGACCAGCCCCCAGAACTACACATGCTGGCTATTGTGTTTCACAAAATGTTCTATGGGACGTCTCTACTGGGAACGTTTTCGTTTTTCCCACAATTAGAAGTTGCCAGTATTAAACACATTGGTGTTACCAAATTTAAAA